TAACTTGTGTGGGATAATGATGTTAGCCTCATGTCTGACCAGTCATGTTAACTTGTGTGGGATAATGATGTTAGCCTCATGTCTGACCAGTCATGTTGACTTGTGTGGGATAGTGATGTTAGCCTCATGTCTGACCAGTCATGTTGACTTGTGTGGGATAGTGATGTTAGCCTCATGTCTGACCAGTCATGTTGACTTGTGTGGGATAGTGATGTTAGCCTCATGTCTGACCAGTCATGTTGACTTGTGTGGGATAGTGATGTTAGCCTTATGTCTGACCAGTCATGTTGACTTGAGATAGGTATTTGTGTCGCATCTGAAGTTTTCTTACTTGTGTTGAGTATTGAAGTCAACCTGTATCTTGAGAAATTTTTAAAAAATTGAAGTTCAAACGTTGAAGTTGAAAAAATCCAATTTTAATTTAAATAAAAATTGCAGTCATCTTAGGTTGTTTTTTTAAACAATTAAACTGATCTAGATAAGTTGTTTGGTTCTAGATGAGTGGTTCGGTTCTAGATCAGTGGTTCTACAGTGAAAGTATAGCTCTATATACTGTGATATTGGAATGTTCACTGGATAGTGTATGAAGTCATGTTACATAGACAGTGGAATTTTTACTTAACAGTGTTTGAAGTTATGTAAATATTGGAATGTTCACTGGATAGTGTGTGAACTCATAAAAATATTGGAATGTTCACTGGATAGTGTGTGAAGTCATAAAAATATTGGAATGTTCACTGGATAGTGTGTGGAGTCATATAAATATTGGAATGTTTATTGAAGAGTGTGTGAAGTCATAAATATTGGAATGTTCACTTGATAGCGTGTGAAGTCATAAATATTGGAATGTTCACTTGATAGCGTGTGAAGTCATAAATATTGGAATGTTCACTGGATAGTGTGTGGTGTCATAAATATTGGAATGTTTATTGAAGAGTGTGTATGAAGTCATATAAATATTGGAATGTTTATTGAAGAGTGTGTATGAAGTCATATAAATATTGGAATGTTTATTG